CTAAACAAGCAAGAATAGCCAAGGACTACACGAAGTACAGCCAATTCGAGCAGAATCACCAAAACATGTGCATGGATTTAGAAAGAAATAATCAAGATTACAGTTGAGTACATACTTTATTCCTATGAGGGCTTGAGATGTGATCACATCGAAGCACACACCCGAGGCATCAATCTTAAAACCGTAATTTCTTATGGGCTGTAAGACTAGTTAATAAGCAGGAATGGTCAAAAATTACAGGAATAAAACAGAACATGCGATTAGCATGACACCTGATTTAACAGAAATTTAAAGAAGGACATACCAAGGGCCCATAAATTGGACAGTGAAGACAAAAGAAAAAGAAAGTGTGCAACAGACTAAAGATGTCAGTAACTAAAATAACATTGAAAGACAAAAAATTGCACATCGTAATCAAGGGATAAAAAAAGTACTAAGGCTAACTGAATAGACAAAACGGCCACACAGGCAGACAACGCAAACAATATAACCGCAAACTAAGACAGCGGGTTTTAGGGTTTTAGGGTTTAGTTGCAACAGCGAGAAACAGCCACACAAGTACACAAATCCTAGTGCACACATACGATCTTGCTAAGAGACAGAGTGAGACCTTGAAAGGGTGGTAATAGGACCGAGCATGTAAGGGTCACATACCACAACCGTATATACACATACACATTTAGCAAGTTGCTAAAACACACAGTTTCGAACTTCACGGGTGACGTCATAAAAGCGAACATCCAGTGAAAATCGCATATGAGAAAATATTTCCACATATGACAGAATAGGCACAAGTATTCCCACACGTGACTAAATAAGCTTAACAACAAACACCAAACATACCTTTACAAACACAGGAAGGAACGCAACAAGCCACCGCGCAACACGGGACGGTGAACACTCCCCACGGAAGTGCAGCAAAGCGTGATAACAACAAAGGTACGTAAAATAAATCGAATTTTTATTGATCTTTACAGAAGTTACCAGCGTAGACAAGGCAGGTGAAGCGCTCATTCGCAGTAAATATAGCACAAGTTTTTACTGATAACCAGTGAAACACACACACCAACACAGTCAACTCAAAAGGCCATTTTCAACTAGAGCAGGCGTGTGTGGTGGTGCCGGGGGTGGCACAGGCGCAGATGGTGCTGGTGACAGACCAGTATGGGGGACAAACCCAGTCAGTGGTTCAAGCCAACCACCACCGGGTGGAGTGCCCATACAGACTGTAGCATCTAGGGACCAGATTATCAAAGAGCCTATCCAAATCCCAAATCCCAGAATAATCAATTACTGAGTTTTGGAATTAGGATTGGAATATTTCTGATATTGGAGTCATCAGAAATACTAGCGGTAGAACCGGTAAGATATACCGGGACTCTTGCGTGTGAGAGAAACACTCAAGTAAATCCTGAGTCTAGGGAAAACACAAATAAAAACTCAGTTCGGTTATCTCAGACTGTGGAATTTTCCTAGCTGAGATAACCGTACTTGAGAAGAGATCTATTGTATCCTATTGTCAAGTACCTTTCAGCTACTCTCCATACTCTACAAGGCATCAGCCATGCGTCTAGAAATAAACAAAAGCATTTGTCAAAGTACGTTTGTAGCCAAATTAGAACAAACGGCACCAGTAAACATTGCGAGTCTACACAAGATGAGAGTAGGTATTCGCGACGAACGTCGCATGCCAAATGTAGACGCAGAACTTAGAGATAAGATCAAGCTATCAATAAGAGCGGCGACGATGAGGAGGATGGATTATTCAAAACAGTCAGTAGATTAGCGAGCTAGAGCTCATGTATTCCCGCTTAAGTGATAGGATTAATGAACCTGCACTATCGAAACTACTTAAGACCTCAAATTTCCAAAGTTACCAAGAGACAGTTACTTCAAAATGGAGAATTGTGAAGACAATATAGAGTTTACTACGCAATGCAGAGACCAATTCTTAGTCAAATCTATGCCACTATATCAGAATCCCGCGCTAGTGAGATATCTATTAGATTCCACTGGCGCAACTGAGAAGACCAAGGGGTTACTCAATGAGATACAAGAGTCAGAAACGCAAATCACAAAGCACTACACTAAACCAGATCAATTTAATATGATTATTATTGATAGAGTCAGACATCAGCCAGTAGACTTATCTGTTAATGAAGTTTCTCAACGACATGGAGAACAAGGCACTGAATGTAGAGGTACGCACAGGGAGGTTGCATAGAACAATGCAAGTGTTAGAGGAGCGTTACCGAAACACGGACAAAGAGCCCATACACACGCAAATCCTCAAAGTAGCAAGATATCAGCCACTCCTGTATTATGGACAGCAGGAGAAAGTGGACGCCATCACTAAAGTGGACAAACTGCCTGATGAAAGTGACGTGCACATATTAGATAAACCATTCTCTTACTGAAGCAACCATAAGAGCAGCAGCCAAGGTAGAGGCAGATTGCATGCACAGAGAGCGCAAGAGATACAAATCTTACGCGGCCACTGTAGTCAAATACGCAAAGATACCAAGTATCTCAACGTACTCCCCTCTTACAAGGGGTATTTTGTACTTTTATTGAATAACAAAGAACCATTGTTTCTATTATTTGTGTTGGAACATATATTTGCTAAAGAAGTAAGTTTACTATCATATTACATATTAGCTATATAGTATAATAACTGCCATGTGCCTTTTTAAGATACTATTTTTAATTATTCGGCCAAAATATAAGCCGTAATATATTTTGGCCTTATAGCGTTTTGAGGGTTTGAGTCTTATATATTCGTCTTAACGCCCTGGAAGCGAAAGGACAGTGTGTATACGTAGTTGTATATGTGTTGAGTGCTCTACTAGGGTAGTGGTAACAACATGTAGGCTTGCTCTCCTCAGACTGCATTGAGGCTGGAATAATTGTAAAAGGAAGAGTAAAAAGGGGGTGGCGGGGCGACGGGCTGGGGCTTCATAGGGTGGTGGCAGCGAATCGGATAAATATCAGAGGGTTCGTGGTGGCGGCTGGAGCCGAAAACGCTGGGGGGGGGAGGGGGCGAGCGTGAGCTGGGAAGACGACAGAGAAGGGGGAGGAGTCTAAGTGATGGTCGACCAGTCGGGGTTTGTGCACGTTGTATGTGTATGTGTAGAGACACGTTGGTGTAGCGATTTTACGGCTTAAGGGGGGGGTCCGGAGAGTATGTAGGGCAGGTGTCTAGATGGGTAGGAGGGCAGATAGAGCCAGGAGGGAGGTGGATGGATCAAGGCAGGACGGATTGCGGTGAACATCGATCGGGTGGAACTCTCTTGACGATATAGGATGCATAGCGAAGGTAGCATACGCGGTAGAGTGTGTTGGTAATGTGTGTATGGTTGTTGTCGGGCGTGTGAGCTAGTGCTGCAACAAGCGACGGTTGATAAGGGTATGGGGATGGCGGTGAGTGTGATATGTGTATGTTAAAAATACGGTTGAGGTCAGATTGTGCATCGGTGGTGGCTTTCTGATAGTTGTTGCGGTCGGTGATAGCGGTGATTGCATCAAGTTCTGAGAATGCGGCATGTGCGCCTAAGTATATGGCGGTGTCGTTGACGTGAGGGTTGTCGTTGGTGTGAAGAACGGCAGAGAGGATGGTGCGGACAAGTTGAATGAGGTTGTTGGCGTGGGAGATATTGCTGTATGGCTGGAGTGTTGGGAAGATATCGCGTTGAATGCGTTGGGCGCTATCGAAGGAGGAGAATGTAGTGGTGGGGATTTGGCTCGTGGGTGGAGGGACTCGCATGGTGATAGTGAATCAGAGACCAGAATGTCGATCAGAAGATCAGGTGGTGAGATCAGAGATCAGAATGTCAATCAAAGGATCAAGGGTGGGGAGATCAGAAGGCAGAAGCTCGGGTGGAAATCTAAGAGATATATATAGGGTATATATAAAGAAATATATTCGATATAGGCCCGTAACCTGTTGGAACATATTTTAGCTAAAAAAAAGTATGTTTATTATCATATTACATATTGGCTATATAATAAAATAACTGCCGTGTGCCTTTTTTAAGATATTTTTACAATTATTCGGCCAAAATATAAGCCGTATTATATTTTGGGCCTTATAGGGTCTTTAGGGTTTGAGTCTTATAAATTCGTCTCAACAATTTGACATGTGTATAAATGACATAAACCCTTAACTGGGTTTATGTCATTTCTCAAAATAGACCTTAAATTACCTAAATAACCTGCATTCACCCTCAGAGAGCTACAGCATTGTCTGATATTTAACCTCAGAAAGTTAGAGGGCTCGATTATTGATAACCACGCGAGCAAGGTCGGTAAGGTATAAGAAAGAAAAAATAATAAAAATAATAACAATACATAACCATGATTGTTGCACCGCTTCTCGTCGGCGCTTGCGGGAGCGTGTTTGTGTATCCTTATGGTATGCTACGATGTCATTAGCCTCGTCAAACGCCTCTGCCGTTCATGTCGAATATGGGTGAGGTCAGATTGTGCATCGGTGGTGGCTTTGTGATAGTTGTTGCGGTAGGTGATAGCGGTGTTTGCATCGTTCTGAGAATGCGTACTTAAGTGTTTCTCTCACACGCGGGAGTCCCGGTATAGCTTACCGCTTCTACCGGTAATATTTCTGATAACTCTAATATCAGAAATATTCTAATCCTAATTCCAAAACTCAGTAATTGATTATTCTGGGTTTCGGGGTTTGGATTGGCTTTTTGTTATTCTGGTCCCTAGATGCTACAGCCCCCCCAACTTTATACTTCTGAGCCTGCGTAGGAGTCGAAAGTGACATCTTACAGTACTAGATTATCTAGAGGTTGGTGTTTGTATACAGGAAATAATTGTCCCTTAGGGAGCATAAGATGAAAAAGCTGCCACCAATATATATTACATATTACCGATTAATTAAATTTATACTATAACAGGAGTCCTCTACCACGCTCATCGTCGTCAGTCTTGACCGGTGCTCTCGATTGATCTCAACTTGGCGTAGGAAAACGCATCTCAACGGTGGCTCTACAGCCGAATCTCTGGTCCTTGTCCCTCTGGTATGTGGGGGGATCATGCTTCTAGGCGAGAAAAGTGGGAGTGTCCTGTGGTGTCAGTGAGACTTGCTTAGGTCCCCCGCTTCGTGCGCTGTCTGTGGCTCGCTGATTTTTCATCAGTGCTCGTCGTCGCTGGCTTCTTTGGCCTTGACTGCCTTCTTTTACGTCTACGGCGTTGACGGTATGTTGTAATGACAGCAGTATCTGCGATGTCTGATTCATGCGTCCAGGTACGCTCACCATCTGTCCATTGCAGTAGGTCCTCTTGTGATCCATCACCTCGGATGGATGGCCTGTCGTCGACTATCGAAGAGAACTGAGTCTCTTCGTTTGGTTGAGCGTGATTGTTGGAAGTAAATGCTTCCGGAGCACTAGCCCTTTTTACGAGGCCAAGTAGCTCATCATGTAATAGACGGGCCTCTACATTAGACTCTATATTATAACCGTACTCTTAAGCAGTACGTATATTAAAAACGTACTCTTATTAGTACAAGGAACTTAAGTTTCCTAAATAGTTTTTAATGGTTTTATTTATTAATACCTTATCCATTTTTCATATCAGATATTTGGACGAGGCCATTAAAAGGCCCCAGTAAAATACCAAACATAAGATTTGGTCTATTTCTATGAATAGAACTATATTTACTTTCCAAATCTATTTATATCTGAATACTTCGGTAGCGAGATGGCTCAACCGAATATAGGTTTCTAGGGACTATTAAAGTTACCTAGTTTATCCTCCGATCAGCCAACCAGATGTGCCAGTCTGATGAAGGCTAAGTCGGTAATTCTTGATAAGTGGCAAGTTATTGGTTAATGCAATAACTAAGGACATCAAGAGTATTTTTCTTTGTTCTTTTATTTTATATTTTTCTAAAGATAGGATTTTATGAGTCTCTCGGATTCGCTCCAACGAAACATATCATATTTTCTAATAAAGCGATAACGAAACACTAAATACAATCCCTTCGGCGAAAACAGTACTGAGAGGATTATATATATTCAATGTCTCAGCCTCACAATCCCTCAGAGTATTGCAGTTTTCACGAGGCATACCTAACTTTACTAAAAGTCTCATTTCGTTTATTTACTTTGAAATTTTCACGATACTTAGAATTTACCTACGCGTTTATTTACTCTAAGGCGTTAATATCGCCTTGATAGACCTAATCTTACAATCAGTGATCGAGTCAGGATATTCGGGGGCTTTAGTTCCATCAAGGTTACAGACAAAATACCCGTTGCCCTCCCTGCATACTATTTTGTATGGTTCGCCATTTGGTGCTGTTAACTTGTTCATTTCACCTTGATAGCGAACCATGACAAGGTCCCCTTCCTGGAAGTTTACATACTTCTTTTGGTATTTTCGATCGTATGCTGCGCGCATCTTTTCTTGATACTGTGCAACATTAATATCTAATTGTGACCTGATGGCTTCTTCTAGATTTTTCTGTCGCTCTTCCCAAAATACTGTTGTACTGGGCGCGGTCACTGGCTCATTGTAGTCCGTGAGTTGATTCTGTCTGCGACCAAGGTACACATTAAAGGGGGGGGGTTTTAGGGTTTTAGGGTTTAGGGTTTTAAGTATGGAGACTTAGCTCCTATCTTTGCTACTAATGTGACGCCCCATGGGGTCTTGCCACAAGCCTTCTTGCCTTCTTTGAGGAAAGTATTGTTTGTGTTTTCTACTAGCATCGGGTCTTCTTCTAGTAAGGACAAGAACTTTCGAAACCACGATTTATTGGGGTAGTAGGGTAGACATATTGTGATGCTGGTTGCCTCGTCAATGACTTTGTCAGGACATCAGGTATGAGTTCCCCTGGTGGATTCGCCCATGCATTCCCTTCCTGCGCCCACTTTTGTTATAGCGCATCCTGTTCTTTGGTGTAGTATTTATCTGTGTGTGCATTGTGTGCCGATTCAAACAGATCTACTGTGAACTTCCCAAACCGTCGTTCCGCTTCTTGGTAGAATCTGGGATGTAACATCCAGTCTATAGCTGATATGGTTATGGGCATGTTCGTTTCCAATATGGTGTACTCTTGGCTATTATGTGTTGCCTCATTCGCCATATGTAATACCTTTAACTCTTTAATACTGAAAGTATCTTCATGGAGAGGCGACAACATGTCTGCCATCTGGTTGTCCTTGCCTGGGACATGTATGACGGAGAAATGGTGGTGGAACGTTTCTGCTATTCATTTGGCTAGCATTGGGTATAACGTCTGTCGACTGTTCATTTGCATAAACACTTTATGATCCGTTCACAGTGTTATGTCCCCCCCCTTTGATGTATTCGGAGAAATGTTCCAGGCTGTATACCAGTGCTAGTAGCTCTTTGGTATTTGTGCCATAGCGTTGTTGTGCTGGATTCAAGCCTTTTGAGAAGTAAAGAATGTCTCTTCTAATCCATCGATGACTTGAAATAAACACCCTCCTATGCCATAGTCACTAGCATCATTCATTATTTGAAACGGTACCCTATCGACAGGGTATGCTAACGTCGCTGAACAGGCGATGGCTTCCTTGAGTTCTTCCCACTTATTTATTAGTTCCGGAGTCCATAACATGGATATGTTCTGGTTCGTTTTTCCTTTCATTAGGTTCCGAAAGTGTTTCGTTGTGTGAGCAAAGTTAGGGGCATGGTCTCGCATGTTGTTTGCTAGTCCCACTGCTTTGCCTTTTTGTGTAGCATCCAAGGTAACAACTTATTAGGTCCGACACGCTAACAACTTATCAGGTCACTCTACTCTCGAGCTACCAACCTATACTACTCCAACCCGGCCAGCCAGCCAGCCAGTTAGCTCAGCCAGCCCAGCTCAGCCCAGCCCAGCTCAGCTCAGCCCAGCTCAGCTCAGCTCAGCCCAGCCCAGCCCAGCCCAGCTCAGCCCAGCCCAGCCGAGGCAGATAGCCCTAATCCCTGAGCCCCTAAGTCCTGAGCCCTGAGCTCTGAGCCCTGAGCTCTGAGCCCTGAGCCCTGGGTCCGCCTACTTTGTAGAGAGCCTCAGAGTCTACTGTCTCTCGGTGTCTCCGACTCTTCCGCTTCGACAGCATCGATTACTCTATCTTGAATTTTCGTCGCCTGGAGTATTTTTGGTCCCGTCGACCCGTAGCAAGCTGAGCAGCCCTGCACCATTTTTTTTTCTCCTGGACCAATCATCAATCGAGATATGTTTATTTATGTTTATTTATTTTTTGCGCGAAAAACAATTCGTCGTTTTTTGACTTGCTAGAATTTTGGGATTTTTTTTTTTGGCTCCTTTTGTAGAAAAAATTGCATCCCGATTTTTTGAGATATTCGTCACCAGTCTTCGTAGCTTCAGCAGCTAGCGAATTTACGACATCGACCAAACAACAACAAATACGACACTGCTATGCCACAACGCAGACGGGAGTTGTCCCCCAGCACCCAAGCCACAGTCGACACTCGACACTCGACACCGCTTCTGAAAGCAAATGTTTTTCAAGAAAATCTCATGAGTAAATTTACCTGCGACATTGTGATGCCTGTCCCCGTACAGAAGATTATCCACGCCCTGTCGTGAAGCCTGTCACTATACAGGAGATTGTCTACTCTTCAGAAAGTCAACGTTTTCGGCAATTTCATCGAGTCAACAGTCCCAACGAGTCAACGTTTTCATCAATTTTCATCGAGTCTATACTCAACAGCTCCAATTCGTCAACGTTTTCGACAAATATCCATCTGTTTGTTCAACGTTTTTCGCCC